GGACATGTCATGATGTATTTGGAATCTCAACATCGTTACCAGGAAATTCGAAAAGTAGACAACATAAGTAGTCTCGGATTTTTATGATGACAACATGAATACTTTGGGTCTTGCTTTTTATAGGTAATATATACATTTACATGTAATTAGAGAATAGTATATTGTGATACATGTGCGGGAAATTGGCCACGAGTATTGGCTCGCCTTCGGCTCATGTGCCCACCCGCTACTCGTGGCCAATAGCCTGCAATCTCCCGCACATGTATCACATACTATTTTATATTATAAGTGCACGGAAAAGTACCTCTTTTTTTACAGTTACGTGTAAAAACTTTGAGGCTAACCTGTTATCTGTCGAAGACGGCGTGTGGAAGAGAGATCGGCAATTGTGCTGGGAGATAAACAAAAACAGCGCTAAAGTGTGCGGTAATAATTTTACCGCACGGCTTTTTCCGCACAGTTGACGCCATGTTGCGTGCAAACTGTATTGTGTCGGCAAATGTCTATTTTGGGCACGAAAAACTGTCAAAAAAGAGGCACTTTTCCGTGCACGTGTGATGTAAAATGTATTTTCCATAAATTAAAAGACTTGAATATGAAAAGAAGGTATTATTTCTACCATAACGAATTATGAGGTATTTGGACTGTGAAACAAGCCATTTGTTATTATTAAATATAAATAAAAAAAATGAAAAAACTTAAATTTCTATTTTTACTTTAACGTACAAAAGAAATAAAAGTGTAATCATATTTTTTCCAACCCAAAAACTGAATAACATTTTATAAATGTTACGTAATTCAGAAATGTTCATGTAGTAAAATTAAAAAAAATAAAATACCTAAATACAGAGATAATTAACTAAAATCTATTTAACTCAAATAATTTTACAAAGAAATCGATAGAGTCATTTTAAGTATTACATGTGTATAATAATATTTGCATGCTTTCTTTGCATATAATTATATGAATTATGTTAGAATTTGCGAAAAGCCACCTCATCATTTTAGTTCTTCAACTGACAAGCATTTGTCACTGCTTGAAATTCGACAATGTAGTACCTGACTTTTTATTTTTTAAATTATCACCACTATCAACATATTTAAAAATCAACTTTTTTAAAAGTAGAACTTCTTACGAGTTCTAGACGATATGACCAGAGTTTTGAGTAGCGTTCGTTGAGTTCTACGTAAAAATATTTAGTGCCAAATATAAATTTTCCACTAATGCAATATAGAATTGTATCAACTTTTTTACTCTTTAGTAGTTTGTCTCAATAACGAAGCGAACGGATACTTAGTTTTAATAAAATTCGCTACGTGCCGCCACTGTCTCTGCTTCAATATTGAAATCGTAGTACGAATCGACGATAACTCAGACAGATATTATTTTTAAGCATAACTCAATATAATATGAATAAAGCGGACTTTTATTTTTAAATAACATGTAAATCATATCGATTACGTGCATTTTCCATTCATTGCTAGTGTACACCAACAGCAAATCAGAGAGACTTTCATTATCTCAAGTAAATTGAAAATTTACATTAAAAATGTGCTGCACAAAAGGCATTTCTTAATAGCATAATGGTAGCAACGTTATTCTGAAATGCTGGCTACGTCGACGATCGCGCCCCTTCTCCGGATCGTCGGATTCGACAAGGGGGGATGAACCGATGATGGGGGATGCGAGTTGAACTTTGTGGGCATCCCGTAGATCCCGCTCGTCGGCTCGTCAAGAAGCGCGCGCGCGATTTTCGAGTTCTTTCCGTAATTCCTTGGACTCGATGCCAGGACGTGACAGAAAGGAGTCGTCGTGCCCTTTGCTGAGGATTAACGATTAAGGTAAGCTATTCGCTATCGTGTTTAAACCATACTCTTTTTCGTTGAACTTCAAGACAAAGAAAAGCTCTGCCTTCGTAGAGGCGACATTTATTTCACGCAGATTGTTATCCAATTATATATTCTTGTTTATTGGAATTGCAACACAAGTCAAATAGAAATTTACGGATCAGGAATGCAAACTTTATTTTTCAGACTAGTTACAATGGAAATAAAATTTGCGATCACAACTTTTTAGTACTGCAATTTCGATAAACCGTAAACACATTTCATCTGTCTTTTTCATCTAAATCGCGATTGAACACTTCGTTTCTTCGTTCGAAGACGCGTCGAGTCGTGACGAAAATAATGAAGATATAACGAGTCTTGGACTCGCGTCTTGCAAAAATACGAAATGGCTGATGAAAAAAAGAGTATCGCAGAATTATTGACGACAATTTCTGCGAATTGAAAGCTACTGTGTAATCAATTAATCCTTAATTATTTGAAAAACAAGTTTATTCCATTTTTGTTAAGAAGATTTTATCTCTTGTTTTTTTTTCGTTATATAACGTACAAACCTTTATACGTTATATTTCTCTATATATGTACACTTATAATATATCACTGTATAAACTAATGCACACACATACACACACATATGCACGCACACGCGTTAAGCAATTATGTGTACAGAAAGACGAAGCATTAATGCATTTTGAAAGTACCTCCAATTCTAAATTAGATATAATCCGTCTTTTATGCTATTTCTTCTTCGCCGGATCTCGTATGTCGAGATGCGTCGTCGTGCTTCATTTCAATATTGATGAAGAAGTTGATAACACTTAGAACTATTAAAGGGACTTGAAAGTGTTAGAGAAAAAAAAAGTACGTAGGCGTCCCCGTGGAGGCGTTTTCGTCACGACCCGATACGCCGTGAGGAGAAAGGAAAAGATATGACACTTCGATCAGACGCCTCTCGCATCCCGCCGGTCGTGAAGCTAAAGAGTCAGGCCGGATTTCGTTGAACAGTCGATCGACACCACTGTCGTGCGCGATCGCGATCGTGGATCGGCCGATCTCTCTTGTCGGGGTCTCTCCTTGCCGGAGAGAGAGTTATCTTCTCGTGAAAAAGACGTTCGCCCTGGTCGCAACGTCGCCGTGGTGCGAACAAATCGTCGCTTCTTCGCAGTCAGTTTTCATTCAAGGTGTCTGTGAACAATGCCGGATGACGCTAAGGCACTTGTTGCCTTACTGACGATCACAACGTGAGCGATCAGTCGTGATCCGCGGATCATCGGGGAGATAATGATTACAGAACAGACCTGGAGCATGATGCTGGACAGCGATGTCACGAGCATCAACGAGTGAGTAATCGACGAGTCTTCTTCTCCGCGCGCGGAGTGCGAAGTTCGCTCGATCTGAACCGAAGACGAACGTGTTTTGTCTGACAAATTTTCTAGATTTCATTCTCGTCATTACTTTCGGAAGTGCTGCGTGCTACGAAAGCTGTCCTTTATAAACCGGTATTCTGAAAAATGCTCTTTATTTTTTATAACAGAGGTAATAAGATTCTCTTATTCTCTACAGTTCCTAAAAATTATACTTATTTAACATTAGCAATTTAATTATGTACACAATTTCGGCTTCAGCACAGTGTTTAAGACCAAAGGTTATTGGCGCGCGGTTTGCTCAGTTGAGAAAAAAAATTTATAGATACACAAACAATATTACTAGGCACTAAAGATCCAGCTCTCGACTATAGACCTTTCTATTGTTTGTGTTAATTCTCTTGTTTATTGGCAAGATTTTTCTACTTGCGGTCATAAGTATTTCCTCGAAGTCTCAACTCTAGGATAGATCCTAGGATAATTCCTTAAACTATACAACTGTAAAACGATATCAAAACGTAGAAACTTTCTCTATTTCTCTACACTCTATCAAAGCCTGAGCAATCAGATAGAATACGTTTGCGAGCAAATTTCACACTGCACGCCGCTATCGATCGAATCGATTGTCTTTCTTTCGTTATAATCAGCAAATCGATACATTACGCGCGACAATCGTGGGGCAGGTCGAGCATTTCGCCGAGGAAACAATTATGGATCAAGGCGGTGAAGAAACTGACCTCCGAGAGGCTGGGCCGGGAGGGACTGGCGGCGTGGGAGGGCCGGAAGTCCAACACGGATCCCGAGGTCGCCGCCGAAGAGAAGGACGCCGGCCAGGCACCCTCTGAGAATGACGAGGACTCGAACGGGGAACCGGAAGCCGCCGTTGGAGCAGAGGAGGCCGTGACCGATGAGGAGGCCCAGACCCAACGCGGTACGAAAGCTCGATGTGTCCGTCGTTCAGTTCGGCATAAAGCCCGCGGGGTGAAAAGGCTGGGAATGTGTGCGATTGTGTGGTTTTAGATGTCTTCAAGAAGGGGACGCTATACAAGGGGATATTCCTGCCCTCGCTGACCAACAGTTTTCATAACAAGCAGTTGGAGACGTCCTACCTTCTCTACTCGAATCGGCAGAGGCAGAAGTCCCTGATAATGCTGAACATCGTAGACCTCAGTCTGAAGGTGAGTGACACGAGAGCCGTGAGTAAATCAAATTTTATGATCCCTTAGAATAGTGTAGGATACCATTTTATTAACTAAAATCACGTAGGACCGTTATGTAGAGATCCATCTTAAATTCTCGAAATTCGTAAAAATCATTTAACTAAGTTGCAACTTTACATCACACAAAATTCCATAGTTTCTATAAAATAAATGTAAATGTCATCTTAAGCTTTTAAATTAGAGGGTTAAGATATCATCTTCAGTTTTTAATGCTATGTATCTTGTGAAGCTGTCGACAGATTCTAAATTATATTCTTATACTTCGCAAAGTCAACCAAATCGTGTGCAACGAATTTATATTTTATCCAATTTATCTTCACGATACGTATCCAACTTAAGTAAGTTCCAAGTCGCTTCTTGAGATTCTACGAAGATGACAGAAGATAACATAACAATTTCATGAAATGTAAATGTGTTCTCTGGTGACTGAGGAAACCTTTGTCGCGATCACGCAGATCACATTAACGGCGATCTGGCTTTGGCAACGGGACCCGAATGGCGGAGGACTCATCGAGGGATTGTCGTGGGCCGCGTGTTGCATGGCGGCGAATCTGGTCATCTGCGTGCTCGGCTGGTGGCGTTGCTTTTCTAACAATTACCTGTACTGGGCCTCGATATTCACTTGGTTATTAATAAACTCTCAAGGTGAGGCCCACGCGACTCATTCTGACCTATCGATTCCCATAATTATAACTCGGTACAATTATAATTACTCGATTTGGGAGTGTCGGGCGATCGCGCGAGGGACTTCGCTTCTTTCGCGCGAATGAGGCTCGATTTCGTAAACAAAACTATTGACCTAAGAGAAAGGAATTAATCATCTCTCCTCGATGGAAAGAATCGAGGCTAATAGCGATTAGTTTATCTCAATTTCGAGCGTGAAGACTGAAAACTTTCAAACTTGGTAACTTCGCTCCCAACTCTAGCGGACGAGGACGACACAAAACTTTTATATCGTTCTAATAACTTCGCTGGCCATCAATACCTCGTTGTATCGATTCCGCAGTTTCAATCGAATGGCCGCCTTGCTCCGCTGGCCAGAGTCGAGCGAACGTTCACCGGAGCGTGAAGCAAAGCGGAAATCAAGGCCGGTAGTTTTATCGGGCTCATTCTGAGATGCGCGCAAAAGTAATCTTCAAACAGTCTCCGTTCCAAGTCGTCCCGGATGTACTCCTGCCCTCGATCGCGCGCATTGGAAGAGGAAACGTACGTTTAGCAAGTAACGCCGCATTCCCCGTTTGCAGGTTTCATAGGTGCCGGTCTGAACTTCACCACGCAACAGCGGCTCATGTGGTACATACTCTTCGTCGTGTACGCGCCCTACGCGATGCTGCCTCTGCCGCTACGATGGTGCGTCCTCGCCGGCTACGGAACGGCGCTAACACACATGGTGATGGCCGGAATAAGTCTCCTGCAGAACTCCACATACGTGAGGAGACACACATCGTAGACTATTTCTGGAATTTGCAGTCAGAATCTCCCAACCCAAGGGAGATTTGTTTAGCCCGTGGACCCGCCGATCGTTTCGTTTTATGAAAAATAATGTTATTGGGTTATTTCGATGATGAACGAGCTCTCGTTGTGCGTGAAATTTTAATATCTGTCGGGAAAACGCCAAAATTCTGTTCGTAATTTCACTTTTTCGTGTTTAACTTGTAGTTTAATTTGAGGATTTCTCGACTCGATTGTAGATTCTTATTTTGCCCAATTCAAATTATCATCTTGAAATCTCCAAAATAATCTTGAATCTCTCACAGCCGCGAGACGCGGTGTGCATTATCCGCATGCTAACGACGAACGTGCTGCTGTACCTGGCCGTGAACCTGGCCGGCATGTATACCAAGTACCTGACGGACCGGGGACAACGGCAGGCCTTCCTGGAGACTCACCGTTCCACAGAGACGCGACAACGCACACAGAACGAGAACAATCGACAGGAAAAGCTGCTGCTTTCAGGTAAAGAAAAAACAATTCGGGCTATCCTACTTCTTCTCTTGCATTTTGGACATAAGCAACTATCCATCCAATTTTACTATTAATCTGAAACATCTTGGACGCGCTTCGGAAGTAAAACTTGTTGAAACCAAATCTACCATGGAAGAAGCGTGACCATTCTTCTTCTTTCTTTAGTCCAAGTTGTTGAAGTAAAATAGTTGCAAGGCTCAGGGACGCAGGAATTGATTTTTCCACCGACGTTTGCCTCGTGCCTTCAGTCGAAGCTGAAAGAAACGAGATTAGAGTATCCCTCAGTGGAAAACGGGAGGGAATCTTTGAGAGCTCCTCTCGCAGCTTCCGAAGAGGAACGACGGCGCGAGGCGGTCGCGCCGCGCCGCGGGGTCGTAACTAGGCTGGGTATTTATGTGCATATTTATCGTAACGCGCGGCGGGTAACTCGCCGCCGCTCGTCCGTGTAACTTGCTCGGCCGAGTGTCAAAAAGGGTCACTAGACACTCTCTCGGCCGATTGAGCCGACTGGACGCACGTTTTTCCAATAGCCTTTTGCGTGTTACGTCGCCGCGATCCCACCCGATATATCGATCCGCCGCTCTTCGTAGAGGCCGCTACGAAAATATACCCGTCGTCGAGGTACATTACGCTGGATTACATAAATACCACCTTTGACCCACTATCACTCGCTCCTATAACGCCGTAGAATTGTTTGTTTTCAGCAAATTGATACCGAAACTACATCGCGTGGCTTAGTTGCGCGAAATCGTAAGCCGGTGAAATTGCGAAGCTTCCTGGCATTTGAACTTCAGAAGCGAGGACAGTGGAGCCCTGTCTTTTTTTTTCAGATTCAACTAGACTTTCGCTTTCTCTCTGACATTTGAATTAATTATAAAGATTAACTGAAAGCGGAGAACATTTGCGAGAGATGGTTGTCTCGCCGAAGAAAAATGTATCGCGAATCGGTCAAAGATGCCGCGGAGGCTTGAGCCGCAGCACTCTTACGTTTCATCATCGCATTAATACGCGTGTCATGAAAAGATAATCAATAATTAATCCTGTTAAAGTGTTGCCCGACTTTGTCGCCAAGGAAATGATCCGCGACATCTCCCGCGAGACGGCACGTGGTGGGACGATATCGTTCACGCCGAATCAGTTCCACCGGATATACATCCACCGTTATGAGAACGTCAGCATCCTCTTTGCCGACATCAAGGGATTTACGGGTATGCCGCACTCGTTGTAAAAGAAAGAACTTCACTTAATTCGATATATTAATTAACTTTAAATGACGGATTAAGCATTGAATTTAATATACAGGGTGTTATGTAATAACCGCCTCACCTATTATTTACGGATAGAGCGGACTAGACCGAGTCAAAAAGTCCTCTACCATTTTGCAATTTTCGCAATAATTAACAAGTTATTAATTATTAAAAATTGCCCGGCCTACCGCCCAATTCAAGAGCGCGGCGAGATACGGCCGTCCCGCGATTGGCATTGCTAGGCGCGCGGGAAGTTGTTTATTATACATAGCCGTTACCGTGTGTCCTGGCCCCGCCTTGAATTGGGCGGTAGGCGGGGCCAGGACAGCGCTTTTTAATAATTAATAACTCGATAACTATTGCGAAAATTGCAAAATGATACAAGACTTTTCGACTCAGTCTAGCCGGCTCTATCCATAAATGAGGCAGCACACCCATTACTGTCGTCCGATTTTTTAAATTAATTTCTCGTTTATTATTGAGAATATCGCAAAATGGTACGTTTTTCGTTTATCTCAGTCCGTTCTATTTTCTCACGAGTTTCGTAAAAAGATGTATAATTCACCTTGTATATACATATATACATATACACATATGCAATATATGTGTGTACAATATACTAAATAAGATGTTACATTATTTAACTGAAATTAATTAATTATACGTGAAAATTCTACAAGTCATATAAAGCTGTGTGATAGCACACGGTAACGATTTGCGATGATATTTTCGAAGCTCTGGCAAGTCAGTGCAGCGCCCAGGAGCTGGTGAAGGTCCTGAACGACCTCTTCGCCCGTTTCGATAGGCTCTCGGCAGAGAACCACTGTTTACGCATCAAGCTCCTCGGCGATTGTTATTATTGCATCTCCGGCCTGCCGATCGCTAGGAGCGATCACGCCCACTGCTGCGTCGAGATGGGCTTGCACATGATAAAGGCCATACGAGACGTTAGATTCACCACGAAGGTACTGGAATCTCTCCCGTATAAACGTCTTTAGGATAAAAAAAGACAATTTTTTTGAAGCACCTTTAAAACTGGCGTTTGTGTTCCGCAAACACATTTGTAACTCGTTATTAATGTTACGCCGCATACCAGGAGCCTTAATTTCATTCCATCATTCTTGGTTGCGAAAAAAGTCTAATGTTCTAAAAATATCTAAAGTAAAAATAAAGTCAATTTTATATTTTAAACGCGTTTAATTTTAACTTCTTCTCATCTTCCTCTGGCACAGGTGGACTTGAACATGAGGATAGGAATACACAGCGGATCGGTGCTATGCGGGGTCTTGGGCCTGCGGAAGTGGCAGTTCGACGTGTGGTCCTACGACGTGACACTCGCGAATCATCTTGAGAGCGGAGGAATACCAGGGTACGGAGAAGAAATGCACCGTGCATTACAAAATTAATAATATTACAATGCATGATTAATAACATTTCTTACCTATTTATGTGCTCTCTTAGCTCTCCGATATCTCAAGAAAGTACATAAATTTACAAATTTTGAAGACATTTGAGTTCCCATCATCCGCGCCATCTTGTTGAAACCGTCTATAAAATTCTATAAAATTCACGAGTAAAACGAGGGATTTATCTTGTTACAGGAGGGTACATATTTCCGCCGACACTCTCAAGTGCCTGAACGACGTTTATGAGGTGGAGCCCGGCTACGGTTGCGAGCGGGACAATTATCTGAAGGACAGAAACGTGGTGACGTACCTCATCAAGCAAGTGGAGCCCCTCAAGTCCAGGCGAAGACAGTCGTCGAAGCCGAAGGTCTGGACGGAGGAAGAGTTGGCCGCGAATAAGAACAAGAAGAGTTTCAAAGTGAACAATCCGCACGCAGTGAACAGCAACGCGCAGCAACCGGGTTCCATGGACGACGATATCGGAGTTGACTGGACCCCTGAAATCCCGTTCGAGAATGTGAGCGTTAAAAGAAAAATACAAATATATCTAATTAATAAGAAATCAATTGAATTCATAATCACGCGACAAATGCAATTAGTAATAAATGCTGTTTACTTTATTTACTTCGCAATCGTAGCTGAACACAGCTACGTCGGTGAGTAACTTGGAGTCCGAGTACTTAGAAGAGGAGAACGGTCAACCAGCCAAGCCGAGCAACAAAGCGGCCTCGACGACATCCGTTGAGAAGAAGGGCGCCATCGAAACCGCCAGCAATAAACGCATGAGATCGGCAAACATAAACGCATGGACTTTGCGCTATAACGACGAGAGCCTGGAATCCAAGGTAAAATCAGTCAGCGTTGACATTAGTTTATTACATCTTGCCTCAGTCTTGATTTCAAATTACTAAAAAAAATTATGATAAATACATACATATGCACAATTTCTACGGGATCTTTTATTAAAATTAAATTACATGAATTGTAATCCAGTTTATAAAGCTCATAATAAACACAAAGGAATATAGGACTAAGAGCCATCACAGGATGTTAGTGTCTAAATAATTTATCGCAAAAAAATATTACCTCAGGGTTTGAAACCTGGACCTTCTACTCTCTAGGCGGACGTCTCAATTCGACCACTGAGGCATGTGGTAATATTTATCGCAATAAACAGTCTAACGTTGTTTCCCCGTTACTTCTTGTTTTTCAGTTCGACCAATTACGAGAAGACATGTTCAAGTCCAACATGATATGCTGCTTCGTCATATGGCTCTTCATCGCTGTCTGCCAGGCTATAATCTTGTCTGAGTGAGTACACTTAAGCAAGCCAGAAACTAATCGACCAAGTTGCTGACTTCCTACCTTTCAGCCACAACCCTAGTAGCACAGTGCGTTGGCTGAACATTGGTCCAACACAACCAGATATTGGGCCAACGTTTAACCAATGTTTGGTCAACGCACTGTGCTACTAGGGAAATTTTGTTACGAATCAAATAACTATACTTCAACTTTTATCAATATCGCAGTTGCATGATTCTCCTGATCTCGTTGCTGGTGACTACGGTAATCCTGGTGGCATCGTCAATCCTAGTGATGGCAGAGGAGTTCAAGGGCATGCCGACGTACTTTCAGCACACATCGTCCATGCTGGTGCACAACAAGAAGCACCGCACCGTCTTCATTTGCGGCGTCATCAGCCTGATGATGCTGACGTCCATCATCGGCGTGTTGACCTGTCCCATGGTGCGCCCTCACCAGGAAGTGATGGTGCTGGAGCAACAGCAGATACCGACGACGATCGCGGTGGCACCGCTCCCGGTGCCGGAGAAGTTGACGGCGACCACCGCGAGGTCGAGCCTGGACCACCTTGTCCTTACGTTCCTGGAGGCTGCTCTAAGCGATGAATCCACTGAGGGAGGAAAGACCGTCGCTTCGACGGAGAACAACACTCTGGAAACGGGATCCAGCAATATCGAACTGAAGCTGACACGAGTGGTGAACGACAGGGCGCCTGGAAGAAGCAGAAGAGAGTTTTTCAGATTCTATAGGTGCGTTTGTTTTGTCGCGTACGTCAATTCCCGTAAATTCGGACTAACATTGTCGCGGTAACGATTATAAAATCGTGGAGAACTTATTTTATAAATTAGTTATAGTAAGTAAAACAGTTATGATTTCCTTACGAATAGAACGAACGTATTATCACAGGTATGAGCAGCATTACGAGAAACCGGAAGCTGGGAGCCGGCATTACAGACGAGTCGCACGCAAACGCGACATCGAGGGTGGCTCCCAAAGAAAACTCCTCTCCGTCGCAGAGGGGAAGAGTCACGTTCGCTCGAAACGGTTAATTCTGAAAAGCCCCGAGGAGCTTGAGAAAGCTGGTTGCATCCGGCCGGAGTATGTGGTGTTCACGTGGATCCTATGCCTGATCGCGCTCGCTTCAGCCTTAAAGCTATACTATCTGGTGAAGACTGCGCTGGCCGCGGCGATCGTTCTGGTGTACGCGGTGCTGATCCTCGTCGTGTGTAAGGGCATGTTCACCGAGAGAGACAGGAACGCGTAAGTCGTTCGGATCGATGATTAAACTATTGAAGGGCTTTGAAACTTTCACCCTTCAAATGCCTCTCAGCATTAAGTATGCAATGAAACATTTAATTTGTACGAGAAGATGTACTTAACACTTCTGTTAATCCATAAGTAATAAGGAATAAGAGCAATATTTGTGTCGAAGAGGCCCGAGAATGTGCGACGAAACTTGTATTTCAACAGCTGAGTTGTAAAATTATTTATAGCTTTCAATTTCACTCCGAGTTTCTGGTTTGATAGCAATCAGAAAATTTGTCATGCATCGTCCATTCCGTGGTATCTTAATTTCTCTTTTAGATCGGCGATATCTCTACCGGCGCAGATGCTGACCTTCCTCACGGTCTTCCTCGTGATGGTAACGTATCATGGTAGACTGGTGGAGGTGACGTCGCGCCTGGACTTCCTGTGGAAGCAACAGGCCGAGAGAGAGTTGAGCGACATGATCGAATCGCGACATAACAATATGCAGCTCCTGAAGAACATCCTGCCAGACCACGTGGCGCATCATTTCCTCACGACGGATCGCGCGCCGGAAGTAGGGCCTGATTTTATTTCATTTAGCAGGCAAATACGTCACGCTGTTGCTAATATCTCTTCGTTAATGCCAGGAGCTCTACTCGCAGTCGCGGGACAAGGTCGGCGTGATGTTCGCCAGCGTGCCGAACTTTACGGAATTTTATTCGGAGGACGTAAATAAGGGGATGGAATGCATTCGCCTGCTTAACGAAATTATCGGTACGACTATCTGTTGTTAAATTAGCCGTTGGCGATATCGAGATCGATGTATATCCTTTCTATCATATTTTCTTAAGACTCTCGTAACATTAATATTTTGACGTGTACTTTGTAACTTGCAATACATAGCTGACTTCGACGAGCTGCTGGACGAGATACCGTTTCAGTGCATCGAGAAGATAAAGACGGTCGGCGCTACTTACATGGCTGCCTCGGGCCTGAATCCCAGCCAAACCGTAATAATATTAATATAAAAAATACTTTATATATAATATATATATTGTATGTCTCTGTATCTCTCTAACGAGATATACAAGATGTAAAATCACTCGGATATTCTTTTCACTAAAAATTCTTCGCCTTATTTAGATATTTTTCTTAACGAAAATGTCACTTGGTTGTTAGATTTTAATTTGAAAATTAATTACAAAAATACATAACGTAAGAAATTGGAAAAATGGAAAAGTTGAAATCGAATACAATGAAAATATGACTCAAAAATAGAATAAAAGTTACTTAAAATCTTTACACATTACATTTTTTAAATTAACTCTCTTTTTAGAACTCGAGTACTCGAGTACCAATTGTAAAAGATTTAATTCATCACGATAGAAACTTACAAACATAATACATTTCGAATCCTGCTCATTCCAAAAATCGAAACTAACTTACTCGGACTTCAAGTACAATGTACATTATTTCTCTCTCTCTCTTATTATAAATATTATTCAAATTCTAAAAGGAAATTTGATTATTGGATGCAATTCGAATTTTTAAGTGCACATTCTAATAACTTGATCTCATCTCTGATACACATTAACAGTAAGAAGGCTTAACTTGGACAAAACGATATAGGATGCAAGAATAAGATTTATATTGCAGGGTAACAGTGGCGACGATATGGAGCACCTGTGCAGTCTGGTGGATTACGCGGTGGCCATGCGCCACCGTCTCGAGGACGTGAACGTTCACTCGTTCAACAACTTTGACCTGCGAGTGGGCATCAGCTGCGGGCCTCTCGTAGGCGGCGTGATCGGGGCCCGGAAGCCGGTCTTCGACATATGGGGCAACACCGTGAATGAAGCCTCCAGGATGGACTCCACCGGTGTGATGGGCAAGATACAAGTCCCGCACGACATCGCCAGGGTAACAATAACATTTTTGATGACACAACAGAAATCATTCTTGATAAACTTAAACTTATCGCAGCCTCGTACAGTAAAAAATAAAATATTATATGTATAACTAAATCGGTAATCTCCTCTCTCGAATTAAATAAGATTGGCTTATTATATTGAGATGAGGGTAACATATATAAATTTAAGCTTGTATATTCTTGCGTTTAGAATATGTTTTCTTGCAATATATTATAAAGGCCTGTGTCCACGATGCTAGAACTTGGTCCGAGTCCTAGTTCCGAGAAATGTGCAGCCAACTAACTTGTAACTTTTATGGAATAGCTGCAAGTTGATTGGCTGCCCAGAGAACATGCATGTCTTAAAGATGTCTTTTAGACATGCATGTTCTCTGGGTACACATTTCTCGAAATTAGAGCTCAGACCAAGTTTTAGCATCGTGGACACAGGCCTTAATGGATGTACTAACATTACTTTATTCTAAATTTAAGAATCTTTCACTTGAAATTAAAAGATTCCTTTTTTTCAATAACAAATACGATTTATATGATCGCTATATCGATCCTATGTCATGATAGATCGAAGTGTACTAGCATTTGATCTTTTCTGCGAGAAATCTTTCTGTGTAATAATGATTTTTAAAAAAGCGAGTCTCGAGTTTCGTATACATTACATAAATTATATTTTAATTTTTTGTATATCGATACTTGGAAAGGTGAAACGCAGGGCGACGCTTCGATAACATTTTCGTGCAATTAATTTACGCATCTTGCCCTCGATTATACGTGTATTTTCTTAAAAAAAAAATAGCAATTGGAAATCGCGCTAATTCATCAATTTATCGTATGCGAGCAGTTTCTGGAATCGAGGGGTTACCAGACTCAGAAGCGCGGGCTAATCGAGGTGAAGGGGAAGGGCACGATGGAGACGTACTTCGTGCTGGGCAAAGCCACCCTGCAGCAGGAGGGCACCCCCAGGCACAGGAGCACCTGCCGCAGCCTGGCCGCGGTGGTCTACGGTGTGGTTCAGGCGCGTCGCAAGCAGATCAAAAAGCAGGCGATGCGAAGAACATAGATTGAGAACTTCCGAGAATAGTTCTCCGTGTATAGCTTTGCCGATGCTGTCAGATTGGCGCGGAGGGATCTCGCCGAGCGCAACAAAATTGCGCAACTTTATATCTCCGACGGTCCACGTTGCACGTGTACTTCATTTCAGAGATAAATTATTCCAATTCTCGTAAAAAAAGAAAGAAAGAAAACGTACGACATACCGTCAGTAAAACGCCGATATTAGTGGGGAAAGAAGCGACAAATCTTTGCGCCAATCTGATGGATAAGCGCGACAAATAATCGAGCAGATATACTTAGGTCTTGAAAAGGACTTCTATCCAATTTCACTTCCGTGTCATCTTGCCACAAAGTATTGAATGTATATAGCACTTAAAATAAATAATCGATCTTATACAAACATGAGTTACGCCCTTTTCCATTGGAACTTTAATCACAAGTTTTGCTCGTTACAAGAAAATAATTCTAACATTTGCTACTTCGAAATAACAAAAAAAAAATTGCATCATCGCGCGAATATAACGAGGAAGCTGATGACGATCGTTAATTTTATCACAGAACAGTATTATAAAGTATGCTCACTGTTAGAGACATTATTGTTATTGTTATTATTATTATGCTCATGTAATCATGGCGATCGGTGACAGGTGGAAATGCACAAAGTCTCTGGCTCCGTGTAACCTCGTATATTACACATTATTACGGTAAACACAATATTTATAATCGTAATAATAATCCATGATAATAATGGCAATAATGATAATCATAATAAGGCTACCTACAGGGTGGCCGCCGCCGCGCGAGGGGCCACCGCACCTGCCCGGCCGAGACGATCGGCCGGCTCGACTGTACACGACTTTTACAACATACTCGAATAATTAATCTAATTTTACATATTAATCATTAGACAATTCATTACAATTACGAACCTAGTCAGAAGAACGTCACGATACGTAGGAAGGACCGCACGCCTCCCTTTCCCTCAAGATCACACGCATGTCTCTCGCTTACCGTTAATCGGCTATCATCAGCAAAATTTCGCATCCTCCGAGGAAGAATTCCAAGGACGAAAAGTATACGCTTCGCTTCGTCGCAGAGAAATTCGGATATAACATTGGACACCGTTGTATTAAAGCGAAACAAAAACCACATCTTCTTGATCCGTTTGTCATTTTTTCTCTTTTTTTTCTTGGAATAAAACTATACTCGCTAATAAGAACCTTTCTCCTTAAATTTTTCAATTTCTACATCGAATGCTAAACAACATTTGCTCTAATTTACATTGAAATATATTAATTTTGAAAAAGTGAAGATAAATATGGTTTACAATTATTATAGTTTACGTCGTAGTTACAGCCTTCCTCAGACTAACAATAAGAGTCAATAGAGACAATTTTCTTGCCGAGGATGCTCGGAAAATTTTGCTCGATTCGCGGAGCTGATTGCTTTCTCCGAGGGACAAAGGGGGACTTGTCTCATTTAAGATATAAAGGCACTGTACACGTAATGAACATACAATTAGAAGAGCGCTAAAAAGGCGGTCCGGATGATGCTTCCTTTCCCCTCTTTCATCTCTCGCCACTACCACTTTCTCTCGACAGGTAAAACGTGCCCCGTTTAAAAATATCGCTTCGATCTACAATATGTCTGTCGCTTTAAAATACGGCCATTAGATTGCGGCGCTTAAAATAGGGGAGCGGTTTCCTTCGTTTCTAGCTGCATTGGTCGAGACTAACTTCTTCGTTCCTCCTCGTCTAGATTAGTCTAGCTTCAGTTTAAGGAAAAATAGATGACTATGATCGGATTGGATGCGCGGTAACTATTTATTATTATTTTATTATTATTATTATTATTACACGGGGGGTGAACTCTCGTGGTGGGAAAGATTGCGGAAAACAGGGGATGGGGGCGCGAAAACGATTGGTCAATGCGATCAGAAGTCAAGAAAACGCTCCTGGCTTAAAGGTGGGATCCTCTCACGTTTATCACAATTTGGCAGTGAACGTTTTCACGTTGTTGTTGTCGTCAAGAAATACATAGCTTACTGCGACATAGTGTTCAGCCGTGTCCCTTTTCGAAAGCTATACACATATACATATATACGATTGCTAGCTACAACGGTTCCCTATACACACATATGTACATATACATATATATGTATATAGAATGTCCCGTAGAGATCGCAGAAACGCTTATGGGTAAATTTTTCGGACTATTTTAAGACAAAGTTCTTAATACGCGAAACGTTCAGGCTGCAATAGTTTTCGTTTCAATTACAAGTTCTCGCGCTTAAGTACAACACGTAGCACCAGGACATGAAACTAGCGACAGATTTGCAGTAGATTTTACGCAAGCAAGAAGATGTTCTTTGACAGCTTGCATTTTAAGTTTCTCTTTCGCATCATTTTCAATAAAATGTCACCTGTACAGATAGTAAACTGTACATTTGCGCGAATATTAGGAAAAGCAAATGCAGTTTCTTTGCATACGTAATCTCGAGATCGATACTGAGAAGAAGAGCAAGAGTCAGTTTTCGCCTTTTAGCACTGTGCGTTGTCCCGGAGCACTTGAACTTTGGATGCTTCTAATTAAAAAGAAAGCTACTGCAACCTGAACATTTTGATATTAAGATCTTTCTCTTAATCTGAAAAACGTAACTTTAAGCGCCGTTATGGTTGTGGTCCCTACGGGGCATTCTGTATATATGTATGTATGTATGTATAATAAACGCTACGACTTTTTTTATACAGATTTATATCCGTATATACACATATATACGGCTGGATTGATGAGAAAAATATTACCTCGCTATATTCTTCACGGAGCAAAAATAAGTTCTCGTCTAGTCTGCTCGGTCTCTTTCGTAGGGTGTACAACTTAAATTAGAACAAGTAGTAGTAGTAGCCGTAATAATAATAGTAATAGTAGTAGTTTATAGCGAAAATATGCCCTTATACACTCTTTCTCCACTGCCGCCCCCTGACCGATTTAATCCTCCACGGACGGGATTACCCGAAAGAAATGCTCGCGGCTTTTAGGTTTTCCTTTATTTATATTTAAATCACGTGGCAGTCCATGGAGAATTAACGGCGGTCTCTACCTTTGTGCGCGCGTGTATCGAGAACGCTCGAGCTCGTTTGTGCGTGCGTCTGAATGCCTTCCTTCGAAAAGTCCCCATTCATCTCCACGTAGAGGGATAAGCTCGCGGGCGAGCGGACATTGTTTACGCGAGTAGGAGCTTTTACAGAAGATTACGAAAGGCTCTTTTTTTTCGAACTGGAAGGATCAGAATAGCGTCACGCGCATGTTTCTTCGCGTTACATACACACGTTTTACTTTACGAAAAATATCGAACAAACACGCACGATTCGCGATCGTGGCACAAACGACCGGTCTTTCTACTTGTAAATTTTCCTATTATCCTTAACCTTTACATTAAATATATATATATATATTTATATATTTATAATATGCAAAATTTCGTAAATTTTATATAAATATATATAAATTTTATATATATTATACATAGTTTTATATATTTTATATATATATGTATATAAAATTTACGAAGTAGCGTTAATCGAAAGATGTCAAATCAGTTCGAAACTTGCGACCGCCGGCGGGAGGATAATACGCGGTATATCAATCACTTCTCTCCCCGCCGGCGTCGTGCGAAATTGAGATCATATAGCGTGCTTTCGTGTACAATACGATTTCAAATGTATGTGACGAGAAACGAAACTGTTTACATCCTCCCTACGGTGTTCCACCGTGGATTCCGTCGTCTCGACGTCCACGTGTATCTTTACCTTCCCTTTCGTCCCGAAGCGTCGCGCCTGGTCGTCATTGCTGTACGCTAATTACGTCACAAATGCCTTAACATTCGCTCGAATATACCGTGAATCTCGCCGGGGACTCCCGGGCGTTTGTAAGCTGTGTATTATGCAAATTGACACACTTAGCGACTAAACCGACCGACGCTTTATTCGCCACAAATATGAGATTTACTATGAGCTTTCTGGCTTCTCGAGCGTATTTGCAATGCTATCCGCGCAGATCATTCTGCTTGCTTAAGAAGAAAACAGTTTATCTCTACATTGACAGGATTTTTGCTTTACAGTAACTTCTTGACGCACACCCGAGTGAAGGGGAACAGGAACTGTGCAATCATCGGCGGTTCGTACGTAAGGAATCTCATATTTCTGTAAAGCTCCTGAACATCGCACAAATAGGACCGATTTATTAGAGATCCCTCCAAGAACTTCTCCCTTCGACCTCGTCGCCAGGTCGCTCGAGGTCTCTCGTTAAAATGCGACCTGCTGTTAATCTCTTAGAAGTTCTCGGGAATCAGGTCTCGTAATTAATCTCTCGAGAATTTTATCGGAAACCCTTCGGGAGTCTTCCGGGAATTCTCTTCTACGTCGGACTAGGTTCGTCGAGTAAGGTCGGTCGATCGGTCACGCGATGGGGTGCCCAGTTGACCATCTTGTCATGCGATGCGACACATCACCTATCTTCTACATTTTCCTTTACACTTTATACCAATATATCCTGAGTTCACCTTGAATCGATAACGGGTGTTGAATGATTTAGATTTACCTAATTAATCTGGATTATCTAAATTCAGAGCGAGACATTCAATCTCCCCCCGCCGCACAGTCCTTAAAAGTACCTGCGATTCTGAACAGACGACAAAGTTCAGCAGGAATACTACTCTTGGGCAGCCGGGCAACAATAATTTTTCTTGACCGCCTTAAAAACTCACGCCCAAGTAATTATCTAGATTTAGATTATCTAATTAATTTGGATTATCTAAATTTAGAGCGAGGCATTCGATTTCTCCTCGTCGCACAGTCCTTAAAAGTACCTGCGATTCTGAACAGACGACAAAGTTCGGCAGGAATACTTCTTTCGGTCAGCCGTGCGACAATAATTTTTCTTACACAATGCCTGAACGCACGTGTGACACTTTTAATGAAAGAAAAGTGATCGAAGGTAGCAGAAGATGTTGATACGTTGATTCAGCGAACGTTATGGGCATTTATGACTTGTCTAGAGTACAATCGTGTAGAAAATAAGAGGAGAACGCGACGGTCCTCCTTCATCTCTCGTTTAATTCCTCTGAAACTACTGACTCGGTGGAGAACTAGCGCTTCTAGATATTCAAAAATAGATCGCTTCCTTTGCGGATGATCCTTTCCCGTGGCGCGAAGAGCTAACTACTTTGTTTTCTTCTTCTTCTTCTTCCTTGCTTCTGCCCCCCCCCCCCTCTCTCGCAGTTCGCTCGGGACGGGGGTCGAGGAGCTGAGAATTAAAAGTAAATCCGTCTTTATTAAAGGAACACTTGCAAGTAATCGCAGTGAAGCAATTTCTTTCGTCTCTCGACCCGGTGTAACTGCCAGTGGCAGGCCAGGTGCCTCGATTGTCCCGTTCCCGCTGATTTCGTCCTGTACAATATTAGTTTTACAATGGCAAAGGTATCACTCTTAATCCTCAATTCCTCGGATCGGACTAATTTACAGGGTGGCGGTACGGTAAGCGCTCTGGCACGTTACGTCGGCTGTGAACGCCCTGATCAATTGACGAGACTGTGTGAATGAAGGTACATTTGTTGTCTTAAAGTACGATTAACCTGATGAACAAGAAGCTCTTTTTGTCTCTATTTTCTCCCCTTTCCCGAAAATCTTACGTCGCCCTGTCATCTCGTGTCATCGCCCTGCGAGCAATGTGAAATTCTTTCGCGTATATATGTTTCGTCTACATTTTCTCTTTTCGCTACAACTCGATTTCGCTAACAAAAATCACAGCGTACACACACACACACGCACACGCACACGCACACACACAAACGCGCGCGCGCGCGCGTACACGCACGCACGTTACCCTTTATCGCAGAAATATGATTTTAGATAAGAAACAAAAAATATTGTGCATTTCGTAAGAAGTAGTCGACCGTCGCACGCGAGAAACCACAATTGAGTGAAATTCAATGATTTCATTTTTAATCCCGAGACATTGTTGACATGGGCATCCGTTTTCACTCTAGCTCATTTTGCTCTGGACTCTTTATCTCAACTTTTAATTTTAATTTCTACCATTTGCAGATTCGGACAAACGATAATCGTCCTAGATATTTAACTTCCAGCTCGAGGCTTTAATTTTACGTAACACTTAAATTTTAATAATTGATCGTTTCGTTTTTAAACAGGAAATAACATGCATGGTTGGCAGTAGAGATCTCATGCTATACTCTAGAGAGATATTCTTACTAATTTCCTTCCTTTTCCTTTTAGCCCTCATCTCAGAAATTCACATACAAACATGTACAAATGATTTGAGCAGTGCCACGCACGGCAGTAAGATGCCTTTATATTTTCCTAACAATGATTAATCAATGATGTGGGCAATCTCTCGTCCTTATACGATCCTCAATACACATGACAAAGGGCGAATCTCTCATTTTATCTCAGCAGTTTCGTAAGTGGCAGTGAGAACGTATAGTCTTACATTCCAAACTAAACGCAAAGAGAACAAAGAACGAAAAAAACAAAGATTCGAACATTAGATTTTAAGTCTCCATGAAATGATGACAAGGAGAGTGCTACTCACGACACAAGGTCCATCTAGAGAATTCCAATCGCGAATTACAATAATCGTTAATTACAATAATAAATAAACGATGATAAGAGAAATCAGGTCAAATCCGGTAAAAGAAGGATATCCAGCACGTTAAATCGGGATGCCGCGGGCCGATTGTTACACTATTACGTCCTCTAATAATCAGAGACAGTCTTCTCTAGCCAATACCCGAGAGCTATATAAAAAGGTAATAGTGGTCGCCGTCGCATATTTACAAGGAATAATCCGGCGACGACGGTGATATTTTTTTTATAGATAAGCGCGAGTTAGATTTGTACAAACAGGGCTAACTAACGAGCGAACGAGCGAGCCGCAAGCAGCGCGAATCGGTCTTCGCATCTACCGAGGACTGCCCTTTCCATTCACAATCTCTCCTCTTTCCTTGGGATCGGCTCACGAGGCTCTGTCGCGATAAAATCACGTTCCTAACAGCGAATTTGAATGGTCAAGTGCAGATTAAAGCGCATACTAAAAAGGCTGCCGTATACAAATTGAGATAAAAATATATACATAAGTGTATATATATAGTGTGTATATAATATACGTACGCGTGTATGTGCATACGTGTGTATACATATGTGTATATGTATATACATGTACAGGATGAGGTAAAGCATGACAAACTAATGTCTCTGAAACGGTTGTTGGAGAAAGAAAGGAATATCTTTAACAGAGCACACCGTTGGACTCAAAGAAATTTTGCTGCGCGGTAAAAAAAAATGCATCTCCGAGGATCCAATGATTCTTACTTCGAAATATATCTCCCTAAAATCGAGATCTCTCGAGAGAAATTGCTGTCAAGCTTTCACACCATCCGGTATATATTTTCGGACGGTCGCCCACAAGGAGCTCTTAAGGAGCCGGTCCCGCCTCTTTTTCGCGTAGCTCTCAGGTACATGGATAATGCTTATCGTACGAAATGTCTTCTTGTCTCGCGTTAACACAAGGACTAACACTAGCAGTAGCGATCACCATCCGGAAAGAATTCGCATTTCCCGGATGGTAGTGATCACTACTGCTGCAACGTGCTCAGGAAGTCCAAGTATATGTGTTGCATGTAACCTCAGGAGGACTGGCCGGTCTGTGCCTGCAACGTCGTCGCGGCTGTCGACGACGATGACGAGGTGGTAGTGGTGGTGCTGGCGGCGGTGATCGACGGCAGGTTGTACAAGGTGAATCCGTCGTAAACGTCCATCAGGTCGCGCATACGATACTCCTCCAGACAGACGAATCCCTCCAACGAGGGAGATTGTTTACGCGCGCAGTCCATGCAGTGCACTACGTGACGCTTCTCCTGTTCGCGGATAAACAGGATGTTGAACACCTCGATCTGTAAAAAGAAACGTCCAACATTCGTTTTCAATGCGATAATCTTATTAAAGCGTGCGAAAAGTATCGCAAATAAAAATAGTAACACGGTACATAATTTATTTTGTAAAATAAGGATACATGCTAACCGGAAATTATGTAAAACTGTGTAATGTCGATTGTGCACGTTAGTTTAAATAAAAGAACAGGAAAAATTGAAATGGAATGTCAAGGCAATACGTAGCGATTACACAGTTATTCTACAGAGCTTCGAATTTCTCCTTAAAATAAGAAGAAAGTAAAAATCTAAACGTTGGTTTTCAAGACTATTAGCACAAGAAAGGAAACGTACCTCGCACTGGCCGCAGTAATGCGAGGCCTCGTTCTTGCCGCGGCCATGGAAGCGCACTTCTACGTCCTTGCTCTTCACGAACTCCAGTATCAAGCAACACTGTCTCATCGTTCGCAGAAGGCAGTTCTTGATCAGCTCGAACAGTCGTGGATCCGACACCTTGATATTACGCGCCAGATTCCACGAAAGGTGCACCATTGGCACAATCGATTTGAACGCCTGCAGTTTGTTCCATTCGTAACGCTCGATCGCGAGCTGATACTGTCTGGCAGTGAGCGGGCCGACGTTCCACGCGATGTTGTTGCACCAGCCGACCGCCTGCACCCAGTGCACGCAACCCGCGTTCACCCACACGAGATCGCCCGGTCGCTGATGGAACCTGTACACTGGAATATTTTCTTCATACAAGTCGTCTAGATTTGGCCACCAACTACCGTGCAGGTAACTGATGCCATTGCGCTCGCAGAGCGAGCATATCATGCCCCAATACGCGTCTGGTACCGCGAACCATTCGCAGTCGCCCGGCCCGATATTAATGTTGATAGAACAAAAGTTATTGTTCTCTTGGTGCCCGGGGGTTCTGCTCCCAGGTACCTGAAAACACATTAAATCGCACTTAGAAACATTATTCAAAAACGCCTCGTTTTATAATTCATTAAACTTTTTAATATACCTTCATATACAACTGTACAGTGTTCATTCCTAAGATCACGTGGCCCACATGGCTGAGCATGTTGCCGGCTGATACCACCCTGGCGAAGGCCGGCAACTTCATTAGTTCATGCAATTGTGGCTTCCACTTCCTCTCATCTGACAGATCCACGTTGGTACCAAAGCGCAGCATTTTAGTTCCCGGTCGACCGGCTAGACCAAACGTGTTCTTTTTACGTCGAACCGTTTGACCGGTGCTGTCCTTTGAATCCGAGTCTGACAGATTGGAAGCATGTACGCCACCCTGTATCTTCTCTTCTCTCAGGCTGTCCTGAAAACTGTTGGCCTGGTACTGCGCGTACTTGGCAATGGTTGTGTGGCTGCGATGACTGATGCAGTTCCAGACCTTCTTGTTGAGCGCCGAGTCCCAGTTCTCCTCGCTAGTCTGCTGCATCTGCGTGCGCACCTCGATACCGTGATCTGGATTCGCCTCGACCAGAGTCTTAGTTGAGAAAAGGCCGAGATCGAGCTTGAGCGCTGCCGCGAGGCCACGTATCACAGCGATCGGATGCTTTAGACAAAATTCCTGGAGATGCGGACTGAAGGCTTCCTTCTTGTTCTCCAAGTACACGCTCGGTGTGGGCGGCAACAGTTGCTCCCTCGTCAGTCGTTGCGTAGGCGGATCCGGCGGCGCCGGCGGCGGCGAGCGATCGCTCAGTATCGAGCAATTCGGCACCCCTTTCAGCCCCTGACCCTTGCACGCCTCGATCACCGCCTTGGCATCCATCTCGATGCCCAGTTCGTACTCCGGTTGCGATTCGCACAACGACTCGAGCTTCAAGTTCATCATCGGTTCTGTTTTCGAAATACTGCTCGCCTCGCTCTTGTTTAACGTTGTCGTCGTCATCGCCGTGCCGCAGGGCAACGATGACGTCGTCGTTTCGCATTTCACCGTCGTCGTCTCGCACTTCACTGTTGTCACAGTCGTCGTCGCGGTCGTCGTCGCAGCATCCGTCGTCGGTTTCGACTGCGCCGGCTGGAGAACCGCCTCTTCCGGCTTTTCCAGCTTCACTTCCTTCACCTTGTCCGCCGCGTTCTCCTCGAGGTTCGACGGCGAGAACGGACCGGAGCTGAGCGTGCCGTTGTCATTAATAACACTGCCGCTCGACGGTTCCTCCTTCACGACCGTCTCCAACTCGCCGGAACCGAACTGCTTGAGCAGGTCTTCCGCCAGCGACGTGGCTATGTCCTTACGTGACAGCAGCGCGTGCAACTCTTGATCCGTTACACCTAAATTGTCCTTGTTCACTGTAACCGCCGTGGAGCTCTCCGAGTAGCCGCTGCTCGCCGATGAAACCTCTGTGTAGCCCTGAACAGCGTACTGATTCGGCTGCTGCTGATACTGGCCGCCGTACTGAGCGCCGCCGGTGATCTGTTGTCTTTGCGGCGGATAAGCGGGATCGGAGGCGGATTTATAAGGCATTCCTGGTGTTGGCGTAGTGTTTCCGGTTGCCGCCGTATTGTAGCCGACATTGGTGTCGGAAAAGCCCGTCTGCAGCGCAACCGTACCTCCTTGCTGCAACTGAACGTTGATTCATTAAAATAGCTCAAATAGTATTGATCTTCGATGTGACACACACGTCACATTTGAGAATTAAAAGATTGAGAGAAGCACCGCGTGCAATTTTCTCCACCGTACGAGAATCAATGATGCACATTTGATTTTAAGCAATGAGATATAAAATATTTACCGGCTGTTGCGGTATGCCGTAGTTCTTGACGACACCCGATGACTGGCCAAGGTTCTGTGGATGGCTGTACGCTGTAGGATAACCGGGTTGTCCCGGCCTCAGGCCTCGTTGCACCGCTTGCTGCTGCTGCTTGATCTGTTGATGCATCATGCGATATTGGTGCTGCAGCTGGGTAAGCACACTCTGCTGGTGCGGTGACAGACCATTGGGACTTTGTTGCATGTGTTGCAAGTACTGCAACATGTTCACTTGCTGCGACGACATGTAGATCTGCGGCGGCCGTTGCTGCGACCCGGCCGACATTATCTCGTCGTTCTGCCAAACAAAATTGAATTTAGTTAAATGCAAGCCTAAAACGTTTAACTAGTATATTTCATCAGATTGCCAGTATTAATATAAATAAAGTTTCGAGTTTTAATCGACCTCAGCTGGCCACATTTATTAACTACAATTTCACAACGTTTCGACCTTTGGTTTAGGTTCTTATCAAGTGAGATCTGAGAGTAAATGTTTTACATACAGATTACGTAAGAAGTATACAAGAATTGCACAGTATCGCAGAATAATTGTCGGCCTACCTTGTTACGGACTTACGTCAAATAAAATTACAACCGTATTTCAGCGGAATAGACTTCAGTATTAAGAATATAATTTCACTAACATGCGGATCCGATGGATGTAAGACAGAGACTGATTCGTCATTTTAGTATTCAGTGGTCGGGCAACAGTTATAAGCAGAGATGCTTTTGAGAAATAAACAAAACCAAGCTAACAATTTTGTCATATATCGGATTAAGATTGTCAGTGTCGATTTTTAAGTTGGTAGTGTTCTTGGTTTTCTTGATGAGAAACGTTTCAGCTATCTCCCTTTTCTTTGTGTGCTACTCACTGATGAATAATTTTAGGGGATGACCAATCAAAGTCATGGCCGCTTGTTGTGCGGTGTTCGCTGACCACAGAGTGATTTTTAGGGTGTTTCTTTATGTCATTAGCGTGTTCTTTAATACGTGTAGCCAGATGTCGTTTGGTTTGACCAATATATGAGGCCTCACAATTTTTACAATTGATTTTGTAAACCAATTCAGTTTTTTTTTGGGGGGGACGCTCTTTCGGCCGCGCGTGTACAAACAACAACTAATATTTAACTCGGTCCTTTTCAGATATAAATCAAATCGAAACTTAAATGTGATGGCCATTAAATTACTAAGTGAATCCATATACCGTCTTTTCCCACCCTGTACTGTGCGCCGTTACTTTCCGGACATATAACACAGATTTCCCCTAGGTGGGAAATCTGTTCATTATCGTCAGTGAATTCACGTGTTCTAAAAATCGTTCATCGAGACTAGAGCGAGCTCGAGGCTCAAGCGAGATCTGACTTTGTTCGCTGCTCGACAAGAATCGCCGCGGCGCATTTCAAGATGGACACGCACGAGCGTGTGCGGCCAGGACCGAAAAGGGCCCGGGTTAGCAGGGGCGTTCAAGGTCCAAACACAATGCCAGGCAACAGGAATAGGGAATAGAATTTGATGCGTTTGATTGGTTGGCAGAAAATTTCCGATGAAGCCAACGCGTCAAAAATTCTATTCCCTATTCCTATTGCCTGTTGCCTGGCGTTGTGTGATAGGCCTTACGCGCCAAATTAAAATGGCAATTGAATACCAAACAGGGATGGAATATACTGCTTTTTGGTCGCAATTGTGCAGTGAGTGGTTGACAATTTCCCTGGTGTTTCTGACATACGGTAAATTAACGAATAATCTGGAGTCGAACTTATTGACCTTCGTATGATTGTCAGACGGTAAATCGTTATTTAATCGTAACTGGTTGAGACTTCTGTTTATATGTTTGTCGATGATCTTAATTGGAAAGCAATTGTTTAAAAGGATGTTTTTTTTATAATTTGGATGTTGGATTCGTGAAAACTGTCGTCAGACAACTGACATTGACAACTGTTTAATTCACGTTGCCCGTTCACCCTCATTTGTCTTTAATCATAACGACTACATTCTTCACAAATACTTTATCGAGATATATTTATGAGGCATTTTCAGGTTGCATCAAGTTACATAGGGAAAGCAAGTTTCTAGAAAATGTCTCCTATGCATTTTCGTACCTTAAATCGCTTAGTGTTCTGTCCCTGAGCTTGAGGATAAGGCGGAGGCGGTCCAGTCGGTGTGGCACTATATTTGTACGAAGGCCCGCCGGGTTGCTGCTGTTGCTGCTGCTGCCGGCTGGACATCTCTGCACTGATCGGCAGATTCCAAGCCTCTTCGATTGACGGCAAATGCCGCCTCCTGGATGAAGAATAAAAATTACATGAAAGCGGGAAACAAGCTCCGTGACCACAAAATCAAAGGAAAGTGCACTAAAGGTCGACTACAGTTCCGGCTTGCACTGACCTTTAGCTCACTTAATTTGATTTTCACATTTTTGTTTTATTTACGTATTATGCTCTCGGATGAAATTTCATATTATGTTTTAATTATTTATATATTATTCCCTCGGATGGAATTTCTTTATTATATAAACTCGATCGCGATTATTATGTTACTCTTGCCAATATCTGTTAACGAATTTAATATTGGATCATGTATTTTCATTTCAATATTATCAATTTTAAACAACGTAATAGGAACTTTTTGTTAATAGACTTACAGAAACGTGTAATTTCACAAATAAATTCGTCTGTTTCAATGTATGAAGAGTTACACGAAAGATCGTCATAATGGAATCATAATAGGATTGTAATGCATAATTTGTCTTTTCGACGGCGACTCACTTGGTAGCGACGGAAGGCATTGGTGCTTGACTTAGGTGACTCTGCAGAAAGCTGATACGCTGTTGGAGGGACGGGTTCATCGGGTTGTTGCCACCGGACTTAACGCCACCCAGACCCGCGAATGGGCCCGTGCAATTCGCTATATTGCTGTTTCCCCTACGAGTAAAACAGAAAATCTTATCACGCTGACCTAGTAACTCAGTGCAATCGTTGTGTAGTTTTTAGATTTGTCAAACATAAACTCGACCTTCAACTCGCGACACATGACGATCGTTCTCGCGCGCGAGATGCTTGATTATTACGAACTAAAAATAAAATAAAAGTGCACGCGCCGTGGCATGCAAACGATAACATAAGGAAGGAAACTAGCACATGGTATAATTTACGGGGACCACAACGAGCGATTTAATAATTGCACACTGTTCATTTAACTTTGACCACTTAACCCTTTAAATCCTAGGTGGCCTCGCCGCGCTTCTCTATTTTACAATGTTAATATATTTTGTTCCAGATCACTTAAGATATCAGGTATCAAAAGAACACACACGAGTGCCTTTCAAAATTTAATGATTTGATAATATTTTAAATGATATTTAACTTAATTGTTAATGTGATTAATCACTAATGATCTAACTAGCAGATTAACGTAGTCACCAAGGTTGAAGCAACAGGATTACAATAGCATTTAATTGTGGAGCATTTAATAAAAACGATTGTTCCGGTGAAAATATTTTACTAAAAATATGAAATATTTTTGTAAATATATAATTATTTTTATTGTTACATTTTATTTATTATATTGTATAATAAAGATAATATAGTATGAAATTTCGCTAAAATGTATCTGAAAATCTCCCTCAATTGACCCCGTTCCATTATCATTTCATCAATATTTTTTATTTCAGTAAAAAGAGTCCAGTGAAAAATCGGTTTTGTTAAAAAATAATAGTTTTTTAATTCGGTGAATTCCATAATATTAAAAATATTTCATAATTTTTGTATGACTAGCAACTGTAATTTCTCTCGCATTTAATATTATTACGTTGAATTTTATAAGGAAAATTATGACTCATTCTTTAGATACACTCGGTAATTGTTCAGCAACTTTCATTTCACTTTTCAACGATCTCGTACTTTCGGCAAAATTCTTGCAACACACAATTTACCTGGATGCGTTAACGTAACAGGCCAGAGCGTCTTTCGGCTGGCTAACACTTTCGTACAGTATGCCTAGATTAGTCCACGCAGCTGAATGCGATTTGTCTAGTTGCACCGCGCATATGTAGGCTTGCAGTGCATCCATAGGCTGATTCTGCTGCTGATATAACACCCCTATGCTACACCAAGTGTCCGCATTGCCTTCCGACTTTTCGACTGAATTTCTGTCGAGTAACACGAAGAACGTTAATCTCCAAAACGGAGCGAAGAGAATAATAAATGAACGCATGTAGATGTCAAAATATGTAAATATGAAATCTATCATACTCGCCTGATTTTTTTCAATATCTTTGAATTACATTGCAAATTTTCTTCCATATTTTTGACTATATGCCTATACAAATATTACAAATAAACAGATTATAATAAATAAATAAAAAAATATAATCAACAAAAATAAAAAATAAATGTAGGTATTATGTAAAATAAAAAAAAATTTTCTTACAAATTTAGAAAAGTATCAAAATCGCCCCGAATCCCAAAGGGAAAGAATGTGTTTCTGGATAGGGAGAAAAGGTTTTATTATTATTGAGTGTGAATAAACAATTTTCAAATGCCACCCGACGTTTCCAATTTTCAATTCACGTGCGCTCGACTATTACAAAAACTTTTCCGTATATTCAACGCAAACAAATATTCACACTAACGTTGTATCGAAATTGCAATACCAGAGAGCCAGCTATGATCACCACCGACCTCTCGTACCATCTCTCGTATAATAGTCAAGTTTCGAAGCGCAATTATGAGAGAAAAACAAAGCACACAATTATAAGCAAGTAAAATGTGTAAAGTAACTCGTCTGCAAATCACGCCATGAATATTCTCTCGTTGAAATTTGAATCGACATACATACCACATGTACCTGGGCATTTTTTTTTGTGACATTACCTGTACGCGATAAACGCGTCGTGCACCTTTCCGGATGCGGCCAAGCAGCGTCCCAGAAGGTAAAGACTCTGTCCGCTCTTGGGCTCGGCCTCGATGGACTGCCTCAGGCAGTGGATAGCGAAGGCTTGCTTCTGCAGTCTGCTGATGCCCAACACAGTGCACTCAACCACGTGGTACATCCATCCTGCGCAAAGAAACGAGACACGAGTAATGCAGATGCTCCACCAGCCTCGTCTTCGTTTGTCAATTCGAAAACTTTCAGCGACCTTAACGCCACTACATGACCATCCAGAGAACTGAACTTGAATAGACTCTCGCAGGTATGGCCCTAGGTTTACTCTAGGGTTGCCCCCGGCGAGCAGTCGCTTTTGCTACCGCTGTCCCTTCTCTAGGACGGGGGGGGGGGGGCTGTCTCGAATTACCCCTCCCCTGTAGACATAGGCGCAGCAAGTGCGAAAAACGAACCCCGGTAGAATTTTCGCCCTCCTTAAGGCCTGAGTCCACGATGCTAGAACTTGGGGATCAATTCTGCATCTTACAACAAGTACAGTGAAAATGCTACAAGTGAACGGCTGTGTCTCTTTCTAAGGGGACGGGTTAGAAAGAGACCAAGCTGTTCACTTTTAGCATTCTCGCTAGAGCGTAAGATACAGAATTAACCCCTTGGTCCGAGTTCTAGCCTCGAGACACGTGTAGCCAATCACCTTGCAGCTTTTATGGAATATTCTCAAAACTAGAAAATCTGGACAAAGTTCCAGCATCGCGGGAACTGACCGAGTTAACTAATTTCTCCGATCGGTCAATCGCGATCCGCTTCCACCTCTTCGGCAGCTTTAACAATTACTTTTTATGGCTCGATGTAATTTTTAACCTTTCAATTTTTAATAATTTTTGTTATTATTTAATAACGAGATAAGTCGCGAGATGTCGATGCTTAATTAACGAGCTATTCACTTTTAGCGCTCTCGCTAGAGCGTAAGATACAGAATTAGCCCCTTGGTCCGAGTTCTAGTTTCGAGGAACGTGTTGCCAATCAACTTGCAGCTTTTATGGAATATTCTCGAGACTAGAACCTGGGCCAAGTTCTAGCATCGTGGACACAGGCCTTAGGACAAGCCTTAAGGGATTTTCGCGCGTACATATAATACATTCGAGCGCCTGCGTTCGCCAATTGCCTTTGAATTGACCGCTCACGTTCCGGCTCTCTCGGGGAATTGCTGATTAACGATAAGATGTTTGATTAACTCCGCCTCCCTCGGAACGGTTAAAGTCGTCCAATTTCCGCGAAGGATACAAAACATCGAATAATTATCGAACTCTCTCTCTCTCTTTCTCTCTCGGGGCGCTTTCTTCCTTCAGATGTAGGGTAATATTTTATTACGTAACGCATGAGATTATTCCACGACATGTTGCAGCGAGGAAAAAATAATATTAATATTTTCGCGCGTCCCCGATATAATGACGTTGATTTGTAGCCGACGCTTCTGTATTCGCGGGACGCGTGTTTACCTGTTGATACCCGCACGGATTAATCGTCGTGGGAAAAGCGGGGCGTCGGCAAGAAGTTGTTTATTCGCAACAATAAATGCGCGGCCGTAAATGGGCGAACACGTGGCGGAGTCGCACGTGGAAACTGACCGAGTTAATTAATTCCTCCGATCGGTCAATCGCGACCCGCTTCCACCTCTTCGGCAGCTTTAATAATTATTTTTTACGGCCCGATATAATTTTCAAACCTTCAATTTTTAATAATTCTTTTTAATTATTTAATAACGAGATAAGCCGCGAAATGTCGATGCTCGATTAACAATGATTACACTAGACTTCCGCGTTCAATGCATATTTGTCGCGCATTTCCACCTGAATCAAGGGCGGGCCGTCCGAATTCCCTCGAAAATATCCCCGCCAATTTATTCACGGGATTAAAATAATCGCGGTACGCACCGCTCGTCTACCTTTAATGTTATTTATTCACCTGGCGTATTTACCTGCACTAAACGCCACATCCGCGTACACGCTCGATTTGCAAATCCGCCTGACCTGCCTTTAAATTTGTCCACCTGGCCACGGTCGGGTCCCGAAAGCTCGAGTCGAATCCGTCGGTCGTTTTAAACCACCCCGACCGACTAAACTGTTCCCGAAAGAAGCCTCCTCTCGATAGTTCAAAAATACTACATCGTTCAGGAAGACACCGTTGCACCTTCCTGAGGGGTAAATGCCTCACTGAGGGCATTGTGGTGTACAGTTTTTCGACATTACTGGGCATTACTAGACATTTTTTGGGGCATTAGGCCTTGCTGAGGCATTCCAGAGATAAAATAAGATAAAACGAGATAGATAAAATATTACCTCAGCCAGGGTTTGAACCTGGACTTCTCTACACTCTAGGCGGGCGTAAAAAATGCCAGTGAGTACCAGATATGGTGAAGAAAAGTTGTTAATTATTGCTGGCGACGTGAAGGATTTTCTTATTGGTTAAACAAAATAAAATAAAATAATAAGATAAAGTAATGCCCACTGGGCATTAGCGGGCATTGGTGTACATGATTTTGGTCAGCGGTTTACCCCTCGTGCGCCTCTGATCTTCGAAAAAGGACTCGTCCAAGTTTTCGGGGAAGTGTGGAACATGAAAACGAAAACGCGGAGTCGCAGTTCTAACTCCAAAAAACAGGTGGCATTCGGGAAATAACATTAGGCCGCTCGTTGCGAAAAAAAGTGGTCGAATCGGTGAGATCCACGTCCACCTAGAGACAGGCGGATCCAAGTTCAAACAACCCTGGTGAGACTTTTCGCAATAAGTTCATCGTGAAATTATTTAGATACCAAAGCCACCGGCCCCAGAGTTTCAGATCAGGTGTGAGGTAAGGCTAAGTCCTGTATTAAAAAAATATGTACATTTGCGAATGCTATAATACATAAACGTTATATAAAAAGAAGAGCAATGTTTGGTGACAGAAGTTGGATTTGTCCCCCTCGTAGTTATTCAACCGACGAAACTCGTCGCGTGTCGAACGAGAAAGACGTTCCTTCTCAAAGGAAAAGAGAGAGCGGACGAGGTAGAATTCCAAAAAAAGGGGGGGAGGGAAGCGAGACCGGTCGCGACCGAGACGGTTCGCCGACACGCGAGGAGCCATAAACGGGTCCGTGAAGTGGACGTCCCGTTCGCAATGTCCTCGAGGAAGTGCAGCCTCGAGAGAAAAGACGCGCTGTTCGAGAGACGGACGAAACGCTCCGACTTTCGTCAGTCACGGAGCGATCTGCTCCGAAGTGCAAACAAAAAGGAAAAAGCAAAGGAGGAAACCGCTTGTCAGCCCCGAGACTGTGCTCGTACGTCGCGTCGTTCGGAAAGTAACGGTGATTAACTTCACGGAAAGCTCGAAGGACCTTCATCAAGGCCTTTATTTTTAGGGACGGACGGGGGAAAGGGGTGAAAGAATACGAGTCTCCAACTTGCCAACTTGCCCACGGTCTACCTTTTCCGGGTGAATAAAAAAAAAAGAGGCGGCAAGAGAGATGCCGCCGAGACCGGTAGCAAAGGAACGGCGGCGAAAGGGCGATTTTTCCTTTAGATCGTCGCGCCTTCAGCCTCACGGATTCGGCTGAAGGCTCTTGGCGGGCCGGCTGCACTCTGCCAAGTAGTCTGCAGACACGTGTATTGATTTATTCCGGGTTAGGGTGGACTGGGGATGAGACGGTGAGGCAATTCGGGGGGAGGGGGAGGGGAGGAGTGAATGAACGAGGAACAAGGAGGGCAGGAGAGGCCGCGTGAATGGATCGGAGAGAGAGGGTGCGAGGCCCTAGTTGTGGGAAAACTATCCTTAGCTTCTGTTTCTCTCGCACCTGCCCCTATGCCTCTCTCCCTCCCTCCCGTTTCTGTCCCAGACTGGCGCATAGACTACCCCCGAGCGCACCGCAACGGGGTACGTTCAAGTGTCCCCCCCCTAGATCTAGGATCGCGGCACCCTCGGAGATACTTTCGAAAGTAACGCGCAGTAAGTTGCAACGTCGACAACTTCGACGTCCCGTTTTCAATCATTTACGCCTGCGACTGCGAAATGTTGTTTTGAAATAGTCGTAATAAATGGGCGACTTAAAATATTTTTAATATTAACACGTTATATTAAATATTATTAAACTTGCGCCCAAGTTTTTAGTCAATTTCACTTTCGTTTAATTGTTCAGAGTGTCTTAGGTGTAAGCCATAAGGTAAACTGAACACTGCGGTTTCGACTAATTAAACGTGAACCTGGAACACGACGTTAATTATAAAGAAACCGTCTCTTTATCGCGAAAGTGCCGTAAGAATTTCTAACTGGAAATTGTTAAAAATGCTCCCATTCACGGTTAAAAATTGCATATAAATTTATCGACGAAACTTTTGTTTTCACGCCTCTATCCGTCTCTGCGTTAAATATTTACGAACCACTCCTAGAGAATGTCGGAACTTCCAAGTAGAACTTTCCAAAAGTAATATTTTTGTTTCGCATTCCGCTCTCCACAATAGCTTAAATATTTATACGTGAAATATTTACGCAGCTTCCCCGAGCTAAACAGAATGTGTCGAAATCTCTAAGCATTCCCGAGCGGCAACATCTTTCGCCGTCCCTTTTCCAAAGATCTCCAATATTTGTACGAGATATCGCGGGTCAATTTTTATCTTTTATTTTCCCCGTCAAACTACCCAATTTTGATGATGTGAGTAAGCGATTAAATACGAAGGACTCAATTTTGAAGATGCAACTAGACGATAAGGCTGATTCCTCTAATCTCCGGATCTCGCCCAAACACATTCCGTAAGCCGACGGTCGATGAAAATGTTTCCGGAGGTGTTTTTAAAGCGTTTCAATTAAAAAGATTTCTCTTAAAAAATCCAAGTCAATTTTGCCCCAAAGTACAACGAATTTCATTTTTTTTTGTCCCAATGAAACTGTTCGGAATCTTAATTGGCGACGGACTTACCCAATTGGCGGCAGATGTCAGCCTTCAGATGTAACGGCAGGACCTTCTCCTTCAGCAGGGCCTCGTAATGCTCCTTAGCGAGGCGATACTTGCCCTGAACCTCGTACAAGTGGGCAATGTGGAACTTGACTGCAACAAACACGCGGAAGATGATTCCTCGGTGAGCTTTTCGATGAAGTCATCAGTCTAAGTTCTCCCCCGAGACCGATGGTCGCGAGGAAATTAAATTATGCCGATATATACTTCGTCGAGGGCGAGCTTGTCAGTTTGAGAGACGATGGACGACTGTTATTCCTACTTTGTTCGGTGAAACGGAGTAGGCGAGAGGAGTGTCGAGAGTGTGGGTCTGAAGAGGTCAATAGGAAGAGCGGTCGCCGGCGAGCGGAAGGTCCCGGGTTCGTGCCCTGGTCCCGCGTCCTCGTTCGTTATTTTTCCCGCCCAAAAGTTATCATCGGTCAATAATTGATTCGAGGTCTCGATTGATTCTCGACCTCGTCGACAGCAGCGAAGCGCCGATGAGCACGCGCGCGAGACTGGCGCGCGAGTCGCGCTCAGCCGGCTATTTAAAAGCGCGACTTCCGGCGGTGAATTATACATTCCCGGTATCCGAAAGAGAGAGAGAAGAGAATGATTCCCGCGCGAATCATCACGTGGAAAACGTACAATTCGGAGTCATGAATCAACCGAGTCATCGTCGTCAGTGTGATTCATCCGCGTGGAACCTCCTAGGAACTTGTTCTACATACGCGTCTGTGTACGAGATGCGGAGAGGGGGAAATCCCCCCACGAGACCGGTTTCAATATTAATGACAGATTTCCCGATGAATTAGGTCTTGTTTTTTCTCCGGGGAAAACGGAGAGCTCGGTTAATCGGGAGTTTCCACCTTCGTGACGTGAAAATTCAAATCTCATTGCAACAAAATCGACGGAAAGCAACGGGGGATCCCCTCGCCTCTGCGAAGCTTTTTTTCCTATCGACGATCAGCGCCTTCCGCGTCTATCGACAGATGTAAATCTCGCCGACTTGTTCGTGATTAATTCGTAGGTTTATTATTGAGAAATATTCAGGTCAGATCCAGTTATTTTTATTAGATAAATGCGTGCTATTGCTCAGTTGCTAATGGAACCGAAAGTTGGTCACGAGTTAGGGTCGCGCGCGAAAGATAGACAAGATATTTTAAACCAGTAAAACTCGTATGACTGCCATAAATAACCTTAATTAAATCTTTTTATGGTCGAAGAAATGTTACTTGTATCAGTACAAAAGTTGCAATTTTTGTGACAGCGACATATCCACATATTTCGATAAAAGGATATATTTACTACTTTAATTGAAAGATCTTACTATTCGCTATTACATTCGTAATAAAATTCGCGTCACTGATTGTGAGTTGAAGAGCTTCATTTGTCAAAATCTATTCTCTAAAAGTCAATTGGTGGATTATCGCTGAAAACAGTGAACATTCACTAATTTTTATGTAAATATAGAATATTAAAATACCGATTTAAAAATTCGTGTAAAAACCAATGTTACAAGCAGGTAGCAAGAATTTTGCAAAATACAAGATAGAATCGTAGTTCGTTCGAAGGGTGGAGGGCAGAGGATCGAGCGTATTACAAGTGGAAAAAGACGAGTGGACCTTACTTTCTTACAGATTTGAATTAAAGTTGAGCATACGGCACGTACTGGAACTTAGTTGCGATGAGGAATTAAGCGCGGCGGCTGAACAGGGACGCGCGTTATATTTTTTTTACTTGCGGCCGACGAGAGTTTCCTGCAGTGTCAACTTCTTTATACTAATCTGTATATTTTACATTTTAATTAATTTTTGTTCCTCAAAAAAAACCGTCGAATCACACGATCGCGCGGGACAAAGTTATCTCGCTGACACGAACATCGGGCGAAAGGCGGTCAAGTTCGAAGGAAAGTGAGCGAGCGATTACGGAGTCGCGATGCGCGGGGTGTCGGCCGGGAGTTTTCCGGCTAACGGCGCGAACAAAGGGGCGAGCACTTACTCTCGAGCTTGGAGAAGGAGGCAGGTGTGGTGGCATCGATCAGGGCGAGGGTCAGGTGCTTCAAGGCGGCGTCGAACTCAGCGTGGACCTTCAGCATCAAGCCGAGCCGTAGGTGAACCTCGCAGGCCCGTGGAAATCCTGGTTCCACCCATAGCACCTGCTGGAACGCCTTCACGGCCCTGGAACACAAGAACGGCGCGGGAACCGTTAGTAATCAAGCAAATTAAACTACTCTTGTTACATATAAATAATAAATTGGACCTTTGGAGTGACTCTCTTGCCTTCTTTTTTCTCGGATTTAAAAAAAGTCTTTGTTAATTTATGGCACATCCACATTTCTTGTCGAATTTATTCCTTCACAGGTCAATCGCGTCAGCCAACTCTTGTGTCGCGGGTTACTATTTCCACGTAAAGTAGAGCAAGATTTGGAAACCTGAAAATGTCCATCCATCCTTTCTGTCCGAGAACACGAGGCTTTTCATTTTATTCCTATTGTCGCTATGTCTCGAACCTAAATTAAGAATTTTTATTTAAAAATAACAAAATGGTGCCAGTTTAAAAAAGTTTTAAAAGTACTTTTCAAAACTTTTTTTCAAACTGACACCGTTATTTTTAAATAACAATTCTTAATTGAGGATATAGCGACATTCATACATTGTAGATTAAGAATCTTTTTGACTTTTTGTTGCTAAAAGTCATCAACGCAGCGGACTTGCATCTTTTTTGACACGCCATTCGAACAGTGTAGAAAACGTTTAATTAAAATATATAAAATATATATAAAATATATAAAATAAATAATTTTTTTGTAAAAATATCTACGAAATAGTACAACAAATTACAATGTTCTCAAATCCAGAAATTATTGCAAGTAGCATTTCATGAAAATGTACAATTTTGTAAAAATTAATACAGAACTTTACTAGTTTTAAAATTTTGAGAAACAATAAAATCTTAAAGAATTAAAACATCCGCTTACTTGTAGAATATTACAAAAGTTAACAAAAGTGTTCCAATTCTAGCATTTTCATGTTGATTTTTATAACACTTTTTAAATTTACGTAGAATTTCTTAGATTCTGGCAGTATATATATTTTTTTAGAATTTTGTAGAATTATTTCCGGCAGAGTTATTTTGTTACGTTGTCAAGTTACTGTCGCGATCACTTGAGCAAAATTGCCTCGCATTGCCCTTTGCTGTGCTTCTTGCTCCCCGTGAACCTTACGGCGCCGTGTGCACGCGACGTGGCAAGGTGGACGCGCAGGAAGTGGCTAGTATGTAGCCGCTGTCACGCGACAATGGGGCCCCGCGAAAGAAAGGAAGGAGGAGCGGCGATGCGCGTAACAGTAACAATTGTCGCTGAACGGCATATCGCAAGCCCCACGTCGTGCGCGACGCGATCGATACGCGCCAATCGATGCACACGGAAAGCCGGAAACGAGTAATATACGCGTGCGAGCGAAGAAACATACCGTGTCCGAGGCGATGACAGTAATATCGAGGCCCGTCCCGCGCGATCCGCAATTGAACGGCTCATTTCATGGATCGCGCTAAAGGGTATTCTTAAAAAGTGAAAATTACACCGTGTTGCGGCACTCTCGGGAATCCTCGCGAAAGATTTTCCAAGCTACGATACGCGGGATAGAAAAAGAAGCGAAAAACTGCACGTGGTGACTGAATTTCGGCTGTAAAATATGGACAGCTAATATTTAAGCCAACGGCACACGATACTATTAAGTCACTTGATCTAAAACTCTGCATCCTGATTGGTTCACGTAATCAATCCAGTATTTATAGTTACGGCAGCAAAATATTGTTAACAAACCATGATCAGCTTACGATAGTGACGTTTTTTTCAGTGTAGATTCGTGGAGAAATATGAGAAATTGGAGGTCGTGTAACTACAGTACAATATTTTATAAGGCAGTAGATAATTATAACTAAAATATAATATATGTACATACACAATTTATAATATCTATAATTTAAAAAATACGATAATTAATAATAGAGCATAATTATCGCATGTATATTAATTCTAGCTTAAATTATAATACATAATTATATTATATTACAATATATAATTAATAATAACGGAGGTAAATTGCATACTCGACAGAAGGCACATCAATCATGTAAACACATGGAAAAAATGGATAGATAAAATTGCACATTCGTATGATTCGTAATTCTTAATGAAGAAATTAATATAAAAAATAATATAGTATCTGGTTCGTATAAATGTCCACTTTAGTTGGCGCAATTTGATAATATCATTACTTTTGTAGAGAAGATACAAATGTTTCTAACAAAATCTATCCAAATAATTAAATTATATAATTCTTGATTGGATAGCGCTTATACGTGGCGTCTTTTTTTAAAAAAGGTAAAATTTAACATCCGTATGATCCGTAATTTTTAATGAATGTCTGTAATTTTTTAATCGCTCGATGGAAGTGGAATGAAAAGGGCCTTATACTCCGAAGAATAATACTAAATTTTTTCGATTATCGACTATTCCTTAGAAATTATCCCTGAAAGTTGGTGGTATAGGAGCATCACATTTTCATGTAATCTAATGCGTTAATAAAGTATCCTGACGATACGAAGACGTAAAGTTTGCTTTCCTCAGGAGGGTTGGTTGCAGGGGAACGCGCGTTGCGCGAGGGTGTGCCTTCGATCGCTATTTTATTCAGAGCGTCGCCGTCGTCGCCGCTGGACGTGAGCCAATGTCAGTTTACAGCCGGGCAAGAGCAACGTCGTCGACGACGTCACTTTCGTTCCCGTTAAACGACGATCGTTTGCGACGATTATATTACAGGTCACAGCATACAACTGAACTCCTGTATATCTTTTTCTTCAAACTTTCCACTTATTCTATTTTCATTGCGACTCGTTCCTATATACAGGATATCCCAAGATTTATAATTAACCTTCGAGTAGGTGAAAGCGGATAAAATTCCGAGGCAAAAGTTCCTCTGTCATTTTTCTCTCCGGTAATTAGTCACTGTGTTATTTGACAATTAAATCGACCAATTCCGTGCGCGCTGCAGTGCCGGATCAAACGGCGTCAGGGCCCCATGCTTTAAAAAGTAATTACTGTTACATCAATTTATTTGAAAACCAAACAGTGAAAATGAACTGAGATGAATAGGTACGAACGTTGAATGGGGCACCCGCGCGTCTTGCGCCCGTACTGCCGCTTGACCGCGCGCACTGGATTGATCGACTTAATTATTAAATAACTCAGTGAACACAGGAACTTTCGTCTCAGAATTTTACCCTCTTTCACCACCTCAAAAGTCAATTATGAGTTTCGGGACACTCCATCCATACGTTTCTTGTTACGCCTTATTCTCGCTTCGCTCGATTCCTATTGTTACATTTTCCGCTTTCTCTCTTTTCCCCTATGTAGCGCGGTCTTCAGAAAGCGGGTCGTCCAAAGCCCCGTTTATTTGCTTATTAGAAAAAAAAAACACGCCGCGACTTTGTGCGCCAGCACCCCCAGCGTGGGTCCGCGCCGACTAATCTTCCCTATATCGTTCCAATTTTAGTATGTGCGCACAGCCGAAGCCGGTACGCGCGCGTGTCGGCGTACTGTGCACGTGCATACGCACACTCCACAGCCGTCTGCATGTGCGCGACACACTTTTCATGGAGCGGGGTTACGGCACACTTTTCCTATCCTAAGCGAGCGCGGTTATGAAACACGGACGACGTAACGTAAGCGCGCGCGCTCGCTCGCACGCGGCCGCTTGCGATTATCTCCGCGCGCGATAAAGGCCCGTAACAGCTGAGCCGCCGCCTTTCACCGAATGCAAGCTGCATTTTCGCGAGGCGGAACTCACCGGCGAATCGCGATCCCTGCGGAAACAAGGAGTGAAACCATGAGGAAACTGAGATTGCCCGACTCCGAAGCTTATGGTTAATATTTTGCGTGATATTAATATTCGATTATATGCATATAATTGCCCCTCTAAATATTTGTATTATCGCTCTATACGCAGAGTGTCTCAAAGAGACATTCTTGTAATTGAATGTATCTATAATTTACATTTTTATAATTGTTTACAATATATTCTTGTAATTGAACACAAAGATCGTATATTTGTATTGTATACGCACCGGCATAAATGCTGTCCCTATCCTTGTCAGGTGCACGCACACAACTACAGGGACTCTAGTTGTGTGCGTGCACCTGACAAGGATAGGGACAGCATTTATGCCGGTGCGTGTACAGTGATGGCCAGAATGGTTGCGACACTTTCTTCTTTTAATGAGTTTAGGAACGCGCATTTCGATTCAGCTTTACGTTCCAAAACATTTTCTCTGGGGAAAATTTTACTAGGGAAATAGATCGAAAACGCCCAAAATTATCTCGAAATGGCCATCGAGTAAAATGTTCCTCGGAGAAGAAGATTTTGTAACGTAACCCTGAATCTATATGCGCGTTCCTAAACTCACTAAAAAAAAGTGTTGCAACCATTCTGCCCATCACTGTACAGATTGCAACACTTTTTTTCGGTTACCTTCCAAAATTTTCTTCTCCGAGGAATATTTTATTCGATAGCCATTCCGAAACCATTTTGAGCGTTTTCAATCTATTTCTCAAGTAAAACTCTCCTCGAAGAAAATGTTTTGGAACGTAAACCTGAATCTACAATCCGCGTTCCTAAACTCACTAAAAAAAAACGTGTTGCAATCATTCTGTACATATATTCCTGCAATTGCATATCCTTCGCAGCCGATTTCAATTAATTTCAGATTTCTCGGTCTCTGTACAGGCTAATTAGACATCAGGAAGACAAGTGAATAGTAAAACGACTAGCTTCATCAAAAGAGAGGTGTCTGACGTGAAGTTTACAACGTTTCGAAGGATAAATGGCGATTTAACGAGAGTAGTAAAACCAACGGAAAGACGACCACCGTCGTTGTCATCGTCATCGTCGTCGTCGTCGTCATCCTCATCCTCGCGAACATGCGAACGAGCAACGCGGTAGTGAATTCATTCATAAGAAGGCCCATTCATCGCTTCATTCACTCGCTTCGTTTCCTTTCGGGGTTCGTTGTCTTCGGCAATGAGTCACTCCTAACGCGCGCCGAGCCGAAAGAGAAATGTCAGTGACTCGCTCGTTCCTTGCGAAATGCGCGTGTAGCGTAGTCGATGTGAAACGTCGAA